TAGACCTAGACCTTGAGAGCTAACTGTGAGAGACTCTGTGAGGGCTAAACCTATTAAAAACATTGGTTAGACCTAGACCTTGAGAGCTAACTGTGAGAGACCCTGTGAGGGCTATACTTACTAAAAAACATTGTTTGGGTTAGACCTAGACCTTGAGAGCTAGCTGCTGAGAGACTCTGAGCGCTACCTACTGATAATCTTTACGGGTTTGTTACCCAGAAACTTTTGCATATAATATACACATGGTATGAGGGTATGGTTCATAATCACAGAGCGCACGCAATGTCTCTCAAGGTCAACCCATCTCTCAAGTCGCTCAGGGTGACAAAACGTCCCACGCAAGGAGCCTTTCAATACAAGCCCGCCTCTCTAAAACAAAATGCAGGTTTCACACCATACTTCACCCTTTTGCTATAACATAAACAATTGTTTGAGCTCACCCTTTTTTACATGGCCACAAAGAGATACATCTTCACACTGCATCACAGTCCGGTGGCTTTCAAAAACCACCCTCTCACACCCTCCAGGTAACCTGTATGACTTGACTCAGTATGACACAACCACATGGTGGAAAATGTCAACATCAAGAGAACTGAAGTTTGTTTTAGCAAGGCCTCAAACTACGCAACAGTGTGCTTCAACAACAAAACAAGAACACTTGGGGTGAGAAGGCATGACACTGACCTATATAGCGAGTCACTTTGAAGTCCTTCCCTTCAAGATGCCCTTAGCGCTTTGGATTTCCGTGTTGAACTTGTCCACATCTTGCGCAATGGCGAGCATGAAGGTGTCCAAGTTTTGCTTCGTTGAAGCGACTGAATTGGGGAGTTCGCTCCAGGTCTTGACATGCTCGATGTCTCGCTGGCGCTTGGTCAAGGCACTGTACGCTGACTTCAGCACACCGGCCTTATCCTCCAGCGCATTCTCCTTGGAGAGCCTCATCCCTTCCTTGAGGAGCTTGTCACATGCCTGTCCAGCTTTGTCCAAAGTCTTGATGAAACTCTTTGGCAACGTTCCATCTGATTCCAGGGCCTTCTCTTCAGCCTTGCCCCATGGCCAAAACAATAGTAAATCACACAAATAGTAAAATGCACATGTATATAATATATATATACACAGAACTGTATCCATGGGGTTCTTTGTTCATTTTTCACACTTCACAGTGGAATACGCCCAAAACCGAGTTTCTGTCAACAAGGTGCGCCAAGGGATTCCTGAATAACTATATACAAAACACTTGCCTCCTTCATACCCCATTGCCATTTCATCTTGTTCATAAGACCTGCGAGTTGGTGTGCTTGGTCGAGCTTAAGCTTCTTGGTTCCTGACACGGTCTCGCCCTTCTCGTTGGTCTTTGTCTCGGTGACGGACAGCTCCCGAAAGGTCAAGAACTCGACACCTGACTCTGGATCTTTGAACGATTGAATCTCTCCATCCGCAATGGATCGGTCCAATGCGCGGCTGTCGCCATGGAAGTGACTGGCCAGCATGACTCCTCTTGGCATCCCTTTCTTCTTGTCTTTTGCCTGGTGCCTTGTATAGATGGACTGATACTCTTTGAACTCCTGGCTGTCTGTGTTCATGCGGTAGGTACCATCATCTTGACGAGTGAACAGGTTGTTGATGAGATTTGTTTGGAACTGCCTTTGGCTGACTGCCTTCTTACTCTCGTACTCCCACATGTAGACCACCATGGGTGGCAATTGTCCCGCCTTCAGCATCTTGCTGAACTTCTCAGCCTTGCCCTTGTCACGTGTTTGCTGACCCTTCTCCTCCTCGGGTTCCTCCTCCTTTGCTGCCTCAGCCTTCATATCCTGCACAAGGGAATGGATAGACGAGGATGGTTTTTTCATCGCCGCAGCAGGCCGCTTAGACATAGCTTCGTGAAGGTTGCGCTATACACAACGAGAACCACTCACAACCCTGAGATTCTCACAGCGAGCAAGGTAGCCACAAGGTTCATAGCAAGGCCAAGGTTCAAGGAAGGCAGCCACATTCTAATTGAAGCATGCTCAACATTCCTGGAAACTACAAAAGGTTGTGTGTGTGCTGTCACTTTCAACGCTCAACTTCCAATCTCTCAAGTCCTCTCAAAGTTCCAACTCTCTCACGGTTTTACAGTCATCCAACATTTTCTAGTCCCCTCAAGGTTCCAACTCTCTCTTTTTCTCTCTCTCTCTCTCTCACGGTTTTACATCCAATCCCTCAAGTCCTCTCAAGGTTGCAACCATCACATTCTTCACTGAACGCTAAACTTGTTTGCAAGAATACAAAGGGGCTTTGCACAAAGATTGTCAAGTAGTTTGTTTTGTAGAGTGAACCAACATAAACATTCATGCATTTTTATATGAACGTTTGACATGTTATGTTAGTAGGGGTCGAAGTTTGGTCGAACATCAGTCGAAACTTCGACTCGAAGTTTGGTCGAAGTTTAGTCGAACTTTAATCGAAGTTTATGTTGATAGTATAAAAACACTGGTATTTACAATGTTTTGAACGTTGCTATTAAAACTTCGATCAAACTGCGACTGAACTTCGACCAAACTTCGAGTCGAAGTTTCGACTGATGTTCGACCAAACTTCGACCCCCACCCATCCCAACATCTCATGTGGCAAGTCAACGCAAGATAAACGATCACAAGGTTCTTTTCTGGAATCATCCGCGCAGTTGCTCATGAAGCGGACGCTCACCTCAAAAACTATCAAAAACCTTAGTCAAGCATAGCCAAGAGCTACTTTTCACTTCTTGGAAGTCTTCTTTTTTTTGGACGGAGTGCTCTTTGGGGAAGCCGTGGATGAAGCCGCTGCCTCAGACTTTCCCTTTCCCTGGCCCTTCCCATCCTCAGCACTACCTTTTGAGTAGCCTTTGCCCTTGGCCGCATTCTCTGCATCCTTCTTTGCGAGCACCGCTCCGACCGCATTGAGTATCATCATCCTTGTTGGATCAAGTAGAAAGGAAGCGTCTCCGCGAAAGGTGCCATCAGACAAGAGATGCACTCCACATGGGGGGCCCGAGTCATCACTGCCCTCATCATCATGATCTTGGTCAACTTCACCATGTTGGTCCAAATCCATTTGGGAATCCGACACATCAACCTGTGAATCAGGAGCCTCTTGGTTCTGCTGATGCGAGGAGCTACGAATGCCAGCGCTTGGTGACAAAGCAAGGGTTTCCTCAGAGTCCACAGGGCTGATCTCCTTTTGGGAAGCCATGGCTAGCACAGTTTGCCAGGAAAGGATGCGTTTCTGTCACACACAAATGGTCAGGCTGCAAGAGAGGTCACAAACGGATTGAATTGTGAGATCACCTGAGTCTCAAAGGAATGTGGAACGACCAACACCCGCAAAGTTCCCTCAAGGTTCTCTCAAGGTTCATTGAAACTTCTCTCATAAGTTGATG